ATTGCCCCAAGTCAGAACCTACTCATAGCTGTACCCCCCAGGAAGTTTTCAGAGCGTTATTAGTCACATGGGAGGAGACTGCCCACAGAGCGACTCCCAAAAAACAGCTAATAAATTTAAACTTAAACCACCTGCTTTGGGGTTTGTAGCCTCTTTTACTCACTAGACTGTCAGGGCTTTCTCAGAGTAAAAACAATAAAGAAAAAGAAATTGTGATATATTTTTCTTGTTTCTTTCACATAATTTAGGGAGAGAAAGGATCAAGGGGAGGCGGATATGGGGGTAGGTCTTGGAAACAACGGCCGAAAAGGAGGAATTGAAGAAACAAGAAGATAGAAGAAATATGAGCAAGAGAACAGAGTGAAATTTTTATACTGGACCTTGAACTTCTGGAAATATAACACATTAGGACTCATCTATAGTAGCCATAACATTATAGGCATTTTATGTTTTTGTTATCTTTTTTCTAAAGGAAGAAAACAGTCATGAGGGACCCTTTACACCATCCCACTAAGATCTCTCCCAATAGACACTAATTTAAAGGCATGCCGTTAAGGAAAAACGAAGTGTCAAAATCTAAAAATAAAAGCCTCTGAGAAGCCAGCATTGCTAGCATTGGAGAGTGCAAATTTTTACCTCATGACAGCAGCCAAGGATAAATGGCAAAGGTTACATCTAGGTTTCTCCTTGTATATCTAATTCTTAGATAGTTACTAAACGTTTACTGAATGAGCATTTTCTTCTCCTACGAATAATCATATAGTCTCCTTTTTTGAGTCAGTACACTTTCTATTTCATATTGTTCCAGCTTCCTTATCCAAGTGTTGAGAAAAAAGTGAAAAGATACTGCCTTGAGAGACTCCCTACAAAATACACTATGTACCTCTATCTATAAAATTTTAGAAAATAATGGAATCACAAATTTTCCAGTAACTTTTCACAGAGAAAATATGACAGTTTTAAGTTATTAGATGACTCTCACATTGTTTGTTGTTGTTGGGTGTGACTGAGTCAACTACGACTCATAGTGATCATGTGAACCTCAGGTCTGAACTCCGTCCTATCCGGCACCATCCTCATTATTTGAAATACTTAAGTCCACTGCTGTAGTCATTGTGTCATTTCACCTGGCTGAAGGGCTTCCTCTCTCACCGACATTCTACCTTTCCAAGCATGGTGGCCTAGTGGTACTAGGAGTGGGAGCGGCGCTACAATCCCAGAGGCACTCGGTTTGAATTCGCTAGCGGTTCTACAGGAGAAACATAGGCAATTTCTTCCCGTGCAATTAAACTGCCTCTCAAAACCCAGTGGAGGGTCAGCTGTGAATTGGCTCCGACTCCATGGTACACTAAATAACAACTAAATGTTTAAAGAACACACCCAAAGTATGTAAGATGAAGTTTTATCATCTTGGCCTCCAAGGAGCTCCTCTCATATTAGCTTCTCCTAACTCAAAATCCCTTAAGGGAGACAGGCGTGAGAAAATAAGATCTGTGATCTGGTGGTTTGAATCCAGTGTGTCCACAGGAGAAAGATGTTCAGGCTCCTCCCAGTAGGATTCACAACCTTGGAAATCCCATGAAGGGTCGCCATGAGTTAGAATTGACTGGATGGTGGTGAGTGTGTAAATAACTTTCAATAAGCAGTGCTAGCCTGTAATCCTTAAGAATATGGAAAATTCATTTGCTCTCTACCTGTGGACAATTCCCCAAGGCAGCGCAACAAGTTAGGATCCAGGCAGAACAGGCTGGTCTTGCTAAACTGAGGAGGCAAAGGTCAGTGTCCAAGGACATGAACTGGCTGAAATTTTTGAGAAAAGGCACCAGGCTGTGCAAGATTTCGTCAGAGAAATTTGTGAATGAGCCCACCATGAATCTTTAACACAGACAAAATTATCCAATGCTTAGTGGAGAGTGTCTTTTACAAAGTTGAGAGTAGAATGAGTGTTATAAGATAGATGAATTGCTGTACTGAAGGACACTGGAGCTCCAGCTCAGTTAAAAAAAAAAAGAAGAAGAGATCTAGCTAACACTTAGGGCGCTCTGGTGGCCTAGAGGCAAGAAGCTGCACTGCAATCTAGAACGCTCTCGGTTCAAGGCCACCAGCTGCTCCAAAGAAGGATGGGCAATTTCCTTCCATACAATTAACTGCCTCTGAAAACCTGCTGAAGGGTCAGCTAGGAGCTGGTTCCGACTCTACGATACTCAGCAGCAACAACAACAACAGTTAACACCTGGGCCCTCCGAATGAGATACTAAAGATTCTGGGCATTTATCCAGAACATAAAAAAAGAGTATGACTTAGAATTGAGACCAGTGTTGTCCTATGAGGTCCAAATCTGGCTCCATGGATTTTCTAATTGTTTCCTCAATACATGATCCCCTACCTCCTCAGTTTTAGAAGCAATAGCTCTGTTGTGCCCCTTTCTCAAAGATTTATTAGCTTTCTTCAAACTTCTGAAAAATCCATACCAAGCTGCTTAGACATCTGGATGCAAACATGGTAGTGTCTCCTCGTCAAGCCTCTAACTACAGTTAAACCTAACGCTTCCCCTTGTTCCCAGAATCCTAATAGGGTTAAATTCTTTCTACAATCACCATTTTTGAGAGACTATTTTAGTATTTTATAGACTAAGATAGACCCATAAAGTTCATCAAGTCTTTTAACAGATAACACTACATCACCACAAGGTATTATAATTTCTCTTTCTCTTGACCTATTTTTTTTTTTTGCTTTATTCCTGTATTTTCAATGAGGCTAACTTATGATTATTAGTCCTATGAATTAGAAAATATTTAAAATAGCTATTTTCCATCTTTTTACTGTTCTACTTTGTCAAAGGAACAATGTGATGGAGAGGTTGAGACACTGGAGAATAGAATTTCCTCCTGATTTAAGGAAGATTAATCAGCCCTAGGAAATGACATATCTTCATCTCTACAATTATAACTTAAAGACTTATTGTAGAAATTTAATAAAACATTTATGTGGAAGCATACAGATATCACCCATGCTGTATAAATATGTTTTTACTTCTGAGACAAACAGTAGAAGGAAAATATAATAAAAGAGGTAGAGAGAAACAGTTGAAATGATTTTCTATTCTACTCAATTCTAGAGTAAAACTTAGACTATTATGTTCCATCTAGTTGACTACAACTCATTGTGATCCTATAAATAATGGCTCTGAGTCTTGCCCTATTCTGACACAACCTTAGTGTCTATGACACATCTGACCCCACTACCATAGTCACTGTCAATCTATCTCATCTACGGGCTTATTATCCTGCACTGACCCTCTATCATTACAAGCAAGATGTCCTTTTCTAAGGAATGGTTCATCCTGGCAACATGCCCAAATAAAGCATGTGAGATGGAACTTTAAAATTCTTGCCTCCAAGGAGCAACTTGGCTTCAACCTCTCTAGGACCTGTTTGTTCTCTTGGTAGACTACAGTATGTTCAATACTCTTCTCCAGCACCAAAATTCAAAGGCATTGAATCTTCTTCTGTCATCCTTATTCATTGTCCAGCTCTCAGATGCACAGCAAGAAATTGAGACACCATAGCTTAATTACCTTAGTCTCTAGACTGACATCATTGCTCTTTAGTACTCTAGAGAGACCCTTGTCAGGAGATTTTCTCAATGCAAATAGCCTTTTGATTTCCTGACTGCTTGTGCCAAGGGTGTTAACTGCGGATCTGAGCAAGATGAAATAATTAACAACCTCAATAAAATGAAATAAAATGGATTTCTGTTTATTCCATTCCATCCAACAATGCTCCCCACACTACATAGCAAAGCTGGTTTTCCCTGTTCCTCCCACCCAGGGACACAGACACAGCTTATAATATACAGCAAATACTGTTTATTGCAGACTTCCAGGCTGACTCATGTGAAGAAGGCACTATGAAAATTAACGAATCTAGGCAATCTCCCTAAATGGATGTATGTTAAAATATACAACATTCTTACATAACATCTGTTTTATATATGTGGAATAATACAACATTTAATGACAAAAATTGTGTTTCCAAAAATAACATTTGTTGATGGTTAGGTATCTTTCTTTTTTCAATCTAGAATCTTTCACAGGATTAAAATACATATGAATTAAAAGTTTCTTATTACCAGAAAAACCTGACACAGATAAACACATAAAATGGCCCCAATGCTTTTAATAATTTATATCAATATTCAGAACTAAGGCCTTCATTAAGCAAAATACTGTAACACACATTAATGAAGCCTACTTTCTTTGACAGATTTAGGGTGAACATGACCTCTTGTCTACTTGTGCTTTGTCATATATAAGAACACAGTATACATAATAAGCAGTATACAAACAAAATCAAAATACAAGCTATACAAGGAATTATGATCAACAGAGCCATGGTAAATAAAAAAGGGAATGTTCCATAGGTTTATATTTGCACGAAGGTCTTATACTGTACAGTCCATTCAAATGTTTTCATTTTTTGATTGTTGGCATTAAGCACTTTAAATAAATCTAATATTCAATCATGGAACATGTTAGAAAAGAGTATGAAGAAGATGAGTTTATGCTAAAGTGAGCTGTTCTCAAAATTACAGATACTGTATGACAGTCCAAATTGAAAATTGCTTAGATTTTAAAATCATGGGCAATCTCTCTGCCTTCTTGCCATAAATAAATTCATCACTGTCAGAAAAAGAGTCCTGATTATACACTGAGGTGTGAATGAAATAATCCAATAAAGAATATTTCACCTTAGTGAAGCAGATAAAATATTTGTTAAGGGCAACAATTTTCTGTTTAAATTATTCTTTTTTCTGTTTTAATAAAAATAATGGGCCCAGAAGCGAGTTCTCTGCTAACTCAGGTTTGTATTGTTTCATTATGGCAATAAAGTCACTTTACCAAAAAATTAAAAAAAAAAACATGACATTCCCTGTATGGCTTCTTAAAACAAAGCACATTAGAACAATGCCAAGAATGAGGAAGTTTAATAACAAACAAATTAGTGACTGCTTCCCTCGTCAAAAGACTCCACTCCTGAATCACTAGCAGCTGCACTGATTTTCTCCTGTCTTCTTCGCATAATTTCTTGCAACTCGGAGCTGCCATTGTTATCCTGAAAAGAAATGGTTCAGACAACATGGTTATTGGGTTGGATGGCTGCAGGGTGCATAAGGAATGGCACATGGTGAAAGCCCTTCTTGTTGCTTTTGGGTTCCCATCCCCCAGTATCTCTTGAGGAAGACTGAAATCTACTCCTCAAGTAAGTAATAATTCTGGGTTTCACAAACATAACATCAATAATTTTTTCATCTATAAAATGTCTTAAAGCAATTCATCTTCCAAACCTTTCACTTGAACATGATAATGACAGATCAATAATGCATGTTGAATGCTCTGGATTCCTTGAGAGAAAGAGGATGTGTATATACTCTGCACAATAAAATGATCAAAGAACCTTTTCTGAGCTTGAGCAAGCTACATTTCCCTTTAGGAGATTTTAAATCAGGGCCAAACAGAAGGGTATGGGAACATGCCAAGACTCCCTCCATCCAGTTCTGACTCTCTGCTGCCATGCTGATATTTCCTTCTTTCCCAATCCCTTTGCAACTTTCTATTCCACTTCCATTTGGAAGCAGGAGTAGCATCCACTTCCTAAACAATATGCCTCCAGAAATTATATGAACTTTGATAAATGCTGATGGTTGTAGAGAGGCTACAGGCCCTTTGTTCATAGGGTAGCTATGAGTGGTGCTTGACCCAAAAGCAATAAACAACAATTCCACTTCAATAGGGACAAGTCTCACAACTCAAAGCACACTCATTGACAAAATGAAGCTAGTTCCCAAAGAATGGTGAACTGGAAAGGTTGTTGAGGAATATGAGAAGCCCCAGAGAGCCAGCATATGCTTTGCTCCACTTTCAGAGAACCAACATGGAATGACAATGAGAACAAATGAAATTATAAGCAGCTGTGGACTGAAAATTCCTAATACATACTTAATAAGTAATTTAGCCTCTCTCAACATCATTAGAAGGTGAAAGAACAACAAAACTCCTCCAGCAAAGATATAATCCTTATATATACTTATATAGAATGCAAACGTATCAAATCTCAAAACAGACAAACCCCCAAAGCCAATGTCTAGAAAAACTTTTAAAGATAAATTGAGAAAGGTTACAAGGAAGTACATATAAAGCTGTGTTATAATTTGGGTTACTTCTTGAATTGATACTGCATGCCTGTAAAAGGTATATCTTACTAAATTCTAGTTCCTTGTATTTTAAGCCCAGGTATAATATTTACAGTAGTTATTATGTTGTGAGCTGTAAAAACTGGAAACTGGGTCCCTTCCATAGTACATTTAATCAAACAGGATGCTGAAAGCTTAAGTACAACCAATCTAGAAAACATCTGCTCTCGTGCTTTTACATAGACAACAATGACTACATACTTACTCTCAAGGGCTCTCAATTTGCAATAATCCTTACCTAGTCTTTCCCCTGATTATTAAGGTGTATAAACAGACCTATGCCACACCGCCACATATTTAAGTCTTTATAATCTATTAGAATCTCTGAACTAAATATTAAGAGGTGAATGAGTTCTAGCCTCATAAGGTAGTTACTCACTCAGAAGTGGCATCATAACGAAGATGCCTTCAAAAGTAGTTAGTGCACACACAAAGAAAAGAGCAAGCTCTTTGCTTAATGTATGAAAGCAAATATTCAAGATCATTGCATTAGCCTTTTCAACAAAGTAATCTCCCTGTAAGGGGTCACTACTGAGCTCCATGAGCAAATTACAAAAGCAGTGGCTTTTTTATGGGGAGGACACCGACCAATATGGGCCACTACAGTTGCTTTGGTAACTTTCAATTTTCAGTTCATACTCTTAACTAATGTAGAAAAATGTGACCTAGGTTGATATACATACCTCTAGCGCAGCTTTCTGTACAGTGATCTGACTAAAGACTCTGGCCCCTTCAGGGCACACTGTCCTCAGTTCATCTTTATTGAGAGAGAAAAGTTGTGCTCCATTTAATACTCCAAGGCTATTTACAGTCCTGAAAGAAAAAAAGGAAAGAAGAAATGCAGCATTAAAAATATTTCCCAAGGGGGGAAAAAAAACCCAAATTGAAAAAGTGTTCCTGGTCCACTCTATTCTAGTGTTTCACATACTGACAACTCTATTAAATGGCATTACAGTGACAAAGAAATGACATAGTAATGACCCCGAAGTGATACTTAATCATTGATTATAAGGTATCAAAAAGGAGCATACTGAGTTCAGTGTCACTATTATGTATTACTTCATTTATATTTTCCTGAAATGTGGTGTTTTATAGAAGGAATAGATCACTTTCTAGTAACCAGGGTGGTACCTCATTTTTCAATCATCCTGTAGAAGGCTTGACCCTCCTGCCTAGAATTTGCATTTCCACTTCAGATATACTACATCTATATTTTAACAAGATGAGAAACACCTAGGAAATCTTGTTTAACTGTAGATCCTGATTTGATCTATTTGGAGTAGAAATGCAACTTGTTCACAGCAGATAAGACTGAAATGAGCCATTTCTGAAGGCCAGATTCTGGGTAAAAGAATTCACTGTGACAAATGTAGAATAAAATAACATGGAAACAGCCTAAATGTCCAACCACAAATGAATGGATTGAGAAATTATGATACATTCACACAATGGAATACTATGCAACACACAGAAGCAATAACTTTGTAAATTATTACCTAACTTGGGAGGGACTGGAGAGCATTGTCCTGAGTGAACTAACTCAGTCCCACAAGGATAAATATTTTATAGACTGTTAATGTAGAATGAGTATAAGGATCCAGGAGGGGTGGGAGAGGCTGGAAGCAGAGGGATGTGGATGTACAGCGGGAACAGGGGATTACTCATTGAGTTGTACAATTTGATGGGGTGGGGGGAGTGAGGGAAATTGAAAGAATTTGTTCAAATTTGTATTAGAATTTTGTAAATAAACTAGTGAAAAAAAGTTTACAAACCTTTAGATTTTAGATAATACTGTTGCTGTGTACTATTGAATCTGAACCAATCCACTGCTCACTCTCCAGTAGGTTTTTAGAGGCAGTAAACTATATGAAAGGTTTACATTAACCCAGCATACTAAGAACTGTATTGTAAAGGAGATGGAATGAGGATTAAGATCGAGAAGGAATTATAGGGAGCTCTGGTGGCCTTCCTCAATAGTGGTAAGAATTTGTGCTGCAATCTTGAAGGCATGCAGTCAATTTGGATCTACCAGCAGCTCCATGGGGGAAGGCTGGGCAATCTCTTCCCACCTAAATACTGCCTCTGAAAACCTGCTGGAGAATCAGCTATGCATCGGTTCCGACTTGATGATACACTACGACCATACTTAAGAGAGTCAATTACTCATCCTATGGAGGAGCTGCAAGATTCAAACCCCGTGCCTTTGCGTTGACAGCACGTATTCGGACCTCTGATGGCTTAGTGGTAAGGTATGAAGCTATCAATTCAAAGACAATCTGTTTGAATCTGCCACCTGCTCTTTGGGAGAAAATATGGGAAATCTCCTCCTCTGTGATTACCTGCGCTGCTGAAAACCCACCAGAGGGTCAGCTATGAGTCAGTTCCAATGATAAATAACAACTGCAATACATAACAACAACAACAACAACAAGCCACCAGAGCTCCCTTTTCGTAACTAGATAATCTATGACAGGAAAAGTTACTATTTTTTCATTTGCCTAAAGTACTATTTACTTCAACAGATAGAAAGTTGATGCTCTCTTGCTTTCATGGGAAGGCCACAGTCCTATCCTGAATAATACAAGCAGAGAGAAAGTTAACAGGCATCAGAGCTCCTAACTTAACATGACAAGGATGATTACATACATATGTATACACACACACACACACACACACACACACACACATACTTGCAATTGTTTTTAGCTGTAAAGGTCTGTAAGGATTTTTGCAGTGTGGAACAGATGTGGTCTGGGCTCTCACATATTTTAAGAGTCATGTGTGATATTTCAGGGACCAAAAAGAGAACAGTGAATGTTTCACACAGGACCATTGGAAACTGTTCCCAAAGAGACTTACACAGGGTTGAATCGCTTTGACTGCAGCCATGCCTTCACATCCTCTGGTGTCGAGTCATAGGTGATATTGACAACTGGCACATTCTGCCGTGGCATGTGGGTCTTCTTCTGAGCAGCACTCCGACCGATGGTCAGTCTGGTAAGGAGTTCACCTTGCACTTCCTCCATCTGAGATTTCCTTCCTAGATATCAAAAAGAAATGGATTCTATTTCACAACACTTAATATCAAGTAACTCCCTTTTTACCTCCATATACTAAAATTGACCCCAGAAGTACAGAAAATCCACTGACCAAAGATCTCTTCCCTTATTTTCATCCTCATTCATGTTAAATCAGTGATCAATTATTTAAACCACTCTCTTCGACTTTTCTTTTTGCTGCATTGTGCTAATCTGGCAAAATCCCAGCTTTGGTTAATTCTTTCTAACTATTCCATACCTGCACCTGTGCAGAAGATTTTAACAGACTCTTGTTGAATGTCTGGATGTTAAATTCATGATCATGAACCACAACTAAACTGTTCACATTCTCTGACAATCCGGCATTTCCCTAGTCCAGTGGTTCTTCACTGAGGGCACTCTGGATGTCAGGGGACATTTGGCTATATCTGCAGACAATCTTTGTTAGAACAATTTGTGGGAAACAGTGACATTGCCATTTAGAGAACAGAGACCAGAGATCCACTAAACATCCTGCAATCTACAGGACAGTTTCTTCCAACAAAAGATATCCAGCTCAGTAACTTCCTTCTAATTTTCTACTCTGAGATGATAATGCATAATTTATAACAGTCAAATAAAATTAAGAAGTTAGAAAGGAACCCCATAATTCCTCCTGCCGTATCTCTTCATCTTGTATCCATACATTCTGCTTTCCTTCCCATTAAATGATAATGAATAGTTTCCACACTCCTAAGGTGCCTTCCTCTTATGTATACATATGGGACACAGATGTCTTCTGTCTCTACAAATACTATGACAGCTATTTCTCCTCTACTTCTATTTCACAGTTCCCTTGTAGCATAGGAGGTTAAAGTGGGCTACTAACTAGAAGACCAGAGGTTTGTATCCATCAGCTGCTTCCAAGGAGAAAGATGAAGAGTCCATTCCCTTGAGTTTTTTAGCCTCTGAAAGCCAATGGAGGGTCACCAGGAGTCAGAAGGGCCCTGACAGCAGTGGCTTTTTTGGCTTCTCCAATACTACCCAAAGGCCATAGACAAGTGGGGAAACTGAAGATTTGAGCTTCCGCTGATGTTAGAAATCATGGCGTTATACAGTAAATCAAATATTTGGGACACTTGATTCCACACTTTCTTGTAACTGGTCAGCTACTACTCTTGGAAAAATGAGTTGTGAATACTGGTGTCAGAAGTCAGATTCTCTGCATTGTCTCTGACTCATGGAAGTGTGGGATTTTGTAAGAATAAAAAGTTAGGGGCTTGGGAAGTACAGTTAAAATGTCTACTTATGCTGCTGACAAGATGGGGGGGTTAACATGCTTTTTCCCCCCAGAGAAAGGTTAGAGCCCTGAGACCTTATGCATATGAGTAAGTCAGACCACCACGAACCACAAAGTGCTCTATGATAATAAGGACTTATTGTTCAAAATAGCTTCCCTAGCCATTGACTGACTTTGCCAGATGGATAGGTGACAATATCTAATAAGGTGTGTTAGTCTACCCACAAGGTGACTGGTTACTCTATCCATTAAATTGAGTGAATACAGTGGCAGAATTTGAGAACTTGACCACCAACAAAGAAGCATCAAGAGGATGCAACAAGTCCTTTTGGATCTGAGACTTCTTGTGCCAGACAGACCAGTGCCTATGGGAACATCAGCCATTGCAGCCTCAGAAGAGAATCATCTACCTGACATAAGATGGAGAGGACTTTGGGACTGTTACACCACGGAACAAGAACCTTCTGACCAAGTAGTCTGTTGAAGGACAGGGAAGGGGGGAGAAAAGGGGACAATCATCACCTGCAGGACTGGATGCTTTGTAACATTGGCCTACAGCAACCAAGCTCAAGGCTGAGGTTCCTGCAGGCATGTTTCAAATGATATACTGACTGAATGACTGTATCTTACTGCCAACATGAAAGCATTCTGACTTCTCAAATATGTTTCTGTGTGGTCTCTGAGCTATTTAAATGGATTTTGGACTTAAAAAAAAACCCAGTAAGATTGGTGCTAGAAAGAGAAGAAAGAGGTGGAGGAACCTGAGAGAAATGTTTGACTTCATGAGAATTTTCTGTTGCTGATGTTGTTTATAGGGACAGTTCCCTTTTGTGAAGTTGGTAAAGCTCAGATATGCCATTCTTATGCAGCCCTTGCTCTTTTTACAAGTTCACATCTTGTCATCATTCCACTCAAAATTTCCTGAGGTTATACAAATTACTTGGAGTACAAAAAGTCCTACACTCTCTCCACCTTTCCCAGGCAGCTTCACCACTTTCGTCCCAGATCACACCATTCCAGCCCACAATGACTATTTTTGTGCTCTTCAAATTTAATCATTATTCCAGTCACTTCTGCCTTCAATTCTCTTCTTTCTATACTTGCAAAGTAGGAACAATCTGGTCACTCAGGGAACTTTTTATATCACTGTCCTATTATTCCCTGCTCCAAGGGTGAGCTCTTTAGAGAATGTTTGGTGCCCCTAGGAAATAACTGAAGTTTGAAATAATCAGTGTTACTTCAGTCTGTTATTTATTTTTTCCTCAAAGTATTCAAAATAAAATATAAGGACAAAGAAAATATAACTTACACTTAAGAATTACACTGTTGGTACTTAGTTTTTGTTGTGTGCTGTCAAGTCACCTGTGACCCATAGTGACCCTACATACAACAGCTCTGAACTCTACCCTATTTTGAGCCAGTCTCACGAATTCTGACACACCAACCCCCATTGCCCCAGTTACTGTACCAATCAATCTCATCTAAGCTCTTTCTCTCCTGAACTGTCCTTTCACCCTTCCAATTAGTCAATAACATATTACAATTCAACATAGGAGTTCATTTCTGTGGAATAAACACTTTTAAAACAATAGCACACTGAAAGGTTTTTCTTCTTATTTACAGGCTCTGGTGATATAGAGCAAAGGGAGTTGCACTGCTATTCTAAAGGTGGCTCAAATCCACCAGCAGCTCTGGCTCCAGAAGAGAAAGATGGGAAATCACCTTCCATATGATTAATGTTGGTGTTGTTATGTGCTATCGAATTGCCTGCTCATAGTGACCCTATGTACAACAGCTCTGAATCCTGCTGAGCCAACCTTATTTATTGTATCTAACACACATACCACCATTACCTCAGTTACTGAGTCAATCTATCCCAAAGAGGGCCTTCTTTTCTTATACTATCCAGCCACCCTCCCAAGCATGATGTCCCTCTCCAAGGACTGGTCTCTCCTTGCAACATGCCCAAAGTATTTCAGACAGTTTCAGAATCCTTGCCTCCAAGAAGGAGCCTGGTTTTACCCTTTACAGGACGAACCTGTTTGTTCTCAGAGTAGTCCATTCTATATTCAATACTCTTCTCCAGCACCAGAGCTGAAAGGTATCAATTCTCCTTCTATCATCCCTAGTCATTCCTCAGCTTCCTAATGATGCATAGGACATATTTGCAAAGACAATGGCTTGGATCAGGTGCACCCTAATCTCCAGACTGGCATCATTGCTATTTAATACTCTGGAGATGTCCCTGAGAGCAGACTTTCCCAATGCAATTCAGCTTTTGATTTCCTAGCTGCTAGTACCAAGATGTGGAGTCAAGCAAACTAAAGCTGTTAACAATCTCAATCTCTTCACCGTCTATCATAACGCTGCCAATCAGCCCAGTAGTGAGAATCCTTGTCTTCCTGACATTGAACTTCAATCCAGATTGAAGGCTTCAATCCTTGACCTTCTACAGCAGGTACTTCAGGATCTCCTCAGTTTCAGCAAGCAAGGTAGTATCATTTGCACAATACAGGTTATCGAGGAGTCTTCCCCCAATCCTGATGCCACATTCCTACTTATAAAGCCCAGCCTCTTTGATGATATGTTCTGCACATAGATTGAAAAGTTATAAAGATAGGACACATCCCTGGGATACATCCTTCCCAATTTTGAACCATGCAGTGTCTCCTTGCTCGGTTTTGAGGACTGCCTCGTAGGGCAGTACAGGTTTTGCATAAGCACCCTCAAGTGTTCTGGGATTCTCAGTCTTCTCAGAGTCAGCTGTTTGTTGTAATCCAGACAGTCAAATGCCTTAGAACAGTCAATGAAACATTGTTAGACATTCCTCTGGTGCTCTCTGCTTTCACCCGACATCCACCTAACATTAGCTACAATATCCCTAGTAGCACGACCCCTTTGAAATCCTGCCTGCGCTGTGCCAGTCGTTTTTGGATAATTTTCAGCAGAATCTTGCTTGTTTATGATATTAATGATTTTTTTATAAATTTCTATATTATGTCAGTTTACCTTTCTTTTCTTAGGATTTGGAACAAATATGGACCTCTACCAGTCAGTTGGCCTGGTAGTTGTCCTCCAGATTAATTGGCACAACTTGGTGAGCATGTAGGGCAGCATCTGTTTGTTGAAATATGTCAATTGTTATGCCATCAATTCCTGGGGACTTGTTTTTTTGCCAATTCCTTAAGAGCTGCTTTAACTTCTTCCTTCATCACCACAGGCAGGCTCTTGCTTATATAAATTATTGCATGAAATATGATTAATAACTTCTGAAAATCCACTTTTGGGTGAGCTGTAAGTTCCAACTCAAAGACAAAGAGCTTTTGAGACACTAACCATTATTATTCTGCAGCAAAGCCATCTTCCATGAGGTGGAATGTATTTCTAGGTTTTGGTTTCCTCTAGAAAACACATTTTCAGAATAGCTTTAAGCCTCTTTCTAAAATAACATTTCTGATTAGAAAAGATTAAACTTAATTAAAAGGACTAAGTTTTCAAAGGAAATGAGACAAATGAAAAACAACAAGAGCACTGTTACCTTTAAATGTGATACATGGATAACCTCTTTGGATTCTGATAATCCAATTTGCATATTTTATAGGACAGATAGCTCCAGGCAGCTACTTTGAATAGCAAGGCACAATTCTACTTCAACAAAAGGGGTATCACTCTTAACACTTGTGACACTTTATAATCAACACGATAAACTACAGACCAATATCT